ACCGTATCAGTCCAAGTATATTAGGATCCTAGAGTGGCCAGATTCAGAGACAGAATTATAAGGTGGTGGCCAGGGGTTGGGATTGATGGATATGGAGGGTTATTCTTTAATGGGTATGAAGATTCCATTTGAGAAGATGAAAAAATGTTCTTGAGCTGGATGGTGGTTATAGTTGCACAGTGTGAATGCAACTGATACCACTGAACTATACACTTAAAAATGGATAAAAGGTCAACATTTATGTTGTATATTACTTGCCATTACATACATACCTTTGAAAAAAAGGAAATTAACTCTTCCACTCAGTTTGCAATGTGCTCATTCCACTCCCAATAAAACAATGACATTTATCCCATACTTATTATAAATTCAAATTCATACTGGCTCTTTATAAGCTTGAACAATGTAACAGTATTTAAATTTACTTACTTATTCTGGATTTCAGTACAATCATTTTTTAGTCCAAGGAAAGTGACACCTATTAACAGTCCCAGCATAAATATGATGAATATCTTTTCCAAAAGAAAAATGAAAATAGAGTTGTAATTACAGGTAAAAATTTTTCCACATCATTTATTTGTTTATTTATTTTGGTACCAGGGATTGAACTCAGAGGCACTCAAACAATGAGCCACACTCCAGCCCTATTTTGTATTTTATTTAGAGACAGGATCTCACTGGGTTGCTTAGAGCCCCACTGTTGCTGAGGCTGGCTTTGAACTCATGATTCTCCTGCCTCAGCCTCCAGAGCTGCTGGGATTATAGGCTTGTGCTACTATACCCGGCTTTCCACATCATTTATTATGATACAATATATGGCTACATAATCAGAACCCTCTCTGAAGATAAACACTTTATATGACTTGGTCAAATCTTGGGAGAAGATAAAATTATGTGTGTTTATTAGACTACTTTCCATACCAAATTAAAAACGTTTGGGGAACTGACAGGAAAATAGAGCAGACTACTGGACAGGCTGAAATCCCTCCAGTGTTCACCAGGAATGGCCAGTCCAAGCCCCAGCTCTAGTACTGGACATGCAAATGCCACACAGTATGGCAGACTGGTGCAGAAAATCACTTGGGGAACAAACTAACATCCAAGTGGGTAAGAGCTCAGACTAGAATGGAACTCTCAACTTTTGTGCCAGTGCACATGCATAGATAGTTTCATCCTTCAAGAGGTTCAACTGAAAACAAGATGACTTTACACTCATTAAAAATAAATGAGGGCTGGGGATGTAGCTCAGTTGGTAGGGTTCGATCCCTAGCACCACAAAAATAAATAAATAACTAAATTACATTTATATGAAATTTCAGGGCTAGCAGGAGAATGCTAGCCTAGCATGTGTGAGACACTGGGTTTGACCCCAGCACCACAAAATGAATAAACAACATTTTAAAAGCATACACACACAAATTTTGACAATGGTATTTTTCATGATAAAGACTAGTTGTAAGTTGGCTCCCACCTATTCAACCTCTCTCCTCCATGGGAAATTGTATTGTCATGGTCACCAAAGCACTCAGCCAGTTTTCTTTGGGGACACCCAAGTGCTTCATTACCATCTCCTCTGTCTGCTTCTCTTCAACCTCAGCCAGTGAAGCTTATAGTCAACACATTCACCTGAGCTAACAGCCCCTCACCATCCTCACCTACTCAGTCTGTGCACAACTCCCAAGGTTACTGGGCCAGCACCACTTTTGTTTTAAGGATAAAAATTCTCTCAGGGATACTTCAATCAACAAAAGGTTAAGGGTCACATTATCATGTTTTATTTGAGGAATTCCACATCTAATGCTTCACAAGTTAAATATTAAAATGTAGGAAATTGGAAGTCTAGAGAAAAAAAAATACCCTACCATATATCTTGAAAACTTCAAAGTTAAAAAAAAATACTCAATATTACAATTGTATCCACACACAAAATGATTTGTGAAGAACATTTTAGGCAGGCAGCAAGCCAGAATAGAAAAACTAAATCATAATCTGAAAAAACTGGTTTGTGAAGACCACAGTTTGGAAATGTCGTTATTTAAGTGTTTTACTCATAAGATCTCCTTCAACATAAGACAGAAATTTAGGGGAAAATTCATCCTGCTGATACGTCTTCACTACCCTCAGAATATACTCACTTCATGTCAGTAGAAAGAGCTTCCAAAATATATGCTGATGGATTTGCCAATGTGCAGGACACACAGGTACACAGCAGTCTATACGTCACTCAGGATAACTTATATTCAGTCTTGCTATCCAGAGGTTCTGCATTCTTTGTTTCTTTTGCATCCACACCTGATATCTTATACTAACAAATCACCTGTTCTTTATTTTCAGTCGGTTTTCTACCATACTGGCAAATCAGTGAATCCTATGATCATGTCATGGTTTTCAAAGTATACCTGTGCTATTCTTTCTTACATGAAGAAAGAAAAAACCCCAGGCAAAATGAAATTGCACAATGGAGCAAATGACTGAGCTTTGTGCATGTGGCCACCAGTCTCAGTTTTGAACAGAAGGATTCGATAAAGAAATCGTCCCAATATTTTATTCTGCTTTTGTTCAAATGTGTTTAATGAGTATTTCTCAAGACATGTTCTGAGAGAAATTTGTGAATTTACTAGCAAAATGAATCCACAGTCAAATGTTTAATATGCTCATAGAAAACAATGACTTTCTAAGAGATTAATGACAAGTCTTCCAAATTGGTTTGATCAGGAAATGTTTGACATTATAATTGAACAATAAATCTTATAAAGATCATCATTCTTTCCAATCTTCCAAATACAGCCTCTGGTTAGAGATAAAGTATAAGTCATATATATATCTAGTTCAAACCAAAGTACAGCTATACATCAAGAGATACAAGATTTATTAGTAGGAAGTCATAAATATTTTGACAATTCTATGATCAAAACTTAGAGAAATAAAAATCATACAAGATTTCAAACCCTATGCCAAGCAAACTATGGCCCAAGCCAAATGGGGCCCAACACCTATTTTTTTTTCAAAGTTGATGAGCTAAGAATGGTTTTTACCCCTTTTTTTAGTAGTTGGAGGGGGAAAGGTAATATATCTTGCACTATGTAATTTATATGAAATTCAAACTTCAGTGTCATGAATACAGTTTCTTGAGAACCCAGCCATGTTCATTTGCTTATGTATGAGCTACAGCCACTTTCATGTTAAAATTGGCAGGACTGACCACATGAGACAGACCAGATGGGGCCTACAAAGCCCAAACATTTACCATCTGGGCTCTTTACTGAAAAGGGTTTGCCTACTCCTACACTAACATTTCAGTGTTCACAAACTTTAACACGAGTTGTTCTGCTAAACTCCAGGAGCTTCAAGGTTCTACCCTTATTCTAGAGATGGCTACTTCTCTGAACATAGTGGGAATTCCTTTTGTAGGATTGAGTTTGCTGATGAGGCTGAACAGGTGACCTGGAGACTCTGGGCCTGGTGTTTATGCCTTAATGAAGCCAAGATCCCAAATAGGCACAATCCTGGTGTATACCAAGTAGCCATGGTCTATTCATGCCCTGCCCATAACTCATACTTGGGTCCTGGATGAGACACAATGTCCTGCACATTGGCAGATCCATCATTTTGAGAGGCAGTACGAAAAACCTAACACAGAAAACACACTAAAGAATCAACTCCCTATATCACCCCACTGTTGAACAATGGGTGATCCAAGTTAATGGATCTAACTTACCTGGAATAATTCTAAAACATCAAATCTATTCTCAGAGAATAAAATGTTACCCTTGATAAATAGCCACAAAAGTGGCCATGTTCTGACAGAATGATAAATGAAAAGTTCAAAAACATGTGGCACAACTGACAGCATGACTGAAACAAGAACAGGCTCTCAGATACACCTGAAAGGTGACAATACTGAAAGATGAAAACTTTGGTTCTTATGTTAAAGAACCACAGTTTTCATCTTTCAGTTCAGTAGAACCTACAGCAGGCCATCTTTCAGTACTCAAACTCAATGACTGATAATAAAAATAACAACCCCCAAACAACTAGCTAAATTGATTTCCTTATAAATGATGGACTGATGAACTTTTTACTGTGACACAGGAGTTAGGAATAGCAAAAAAGAAAAATAACCTTAAGGAGTAATAATCAACAATGACCAAAGGCCAATCAAAAGGAGAAAAGAAAGTCATCACATCTTAGTTAAGAGAGCTAATGTGACAGTGAATATCCTTGTTAAGTGTGGTTACTACCTGTGCTTAAACTGAAAACTTTTCAAGATATTTAGTGCTTTCCAAACATTAGAATCTCTCAATGAGGAGGGTCAATTACAAGGAAAACAGCATACAGGCTCTTCCCTCAGAGAGTGGACAGACCAAAGTCCTTGCAGATGTATTCAAAGCCACTAGCTCTCCCTCACCACCTAATTTCAAATGCAAACCAACACTCTTTTCCCTATCTCTTGCCCTCTCTCTTCCCCTTCTCTATCCCTATTTCGCCTGAACTTGTTGCGTAGTCCCTCCTGCAATCTAACATGCTGTGTGTTGTATTACTTCACTCATCATCACTCTGTCTTCATACGAAAATAAATTCCATGAGAGCAGAGGTTGTCATTTTAACTCACTTTGTCCACTACCATATTAGATTCCCCAAAATACAACTCAAGATCTTGCATTCAAGCTGTGGAATGAATCAATGAATGAAAGTAGATAGTACTAGAAAACCCCAAAATGGATTCTGTTGCCTGTAGCTTCCATTTATTGAAAAAAAAATAAATTTCTTACTGAGATGTTCCCTTAAAATTTGTCTGGTTCAAAATTCTGAGTTATGTATTCTAAGAAATCACTGAAAAAAAAAAAACCTTTCTAGATGTGAAAACTTAATTGTGTTTTATGGACTGCTTCTATATCCTAAATGGAGTAAGGATGACAAATAAATGGAAGGGTGGGTAGAAGATACACATTATCTTGAAGCAGACTATATCAGAACCAAATTGCATCCACATGAATATTTCACAGCAAACTTAAAAGAATCTGTAAGATTACCTCAACTATCCAGGGCTTGAGACGACCCATCAAGTTTCTGAATGAACGCCAGAAAATCCATCTGAACTGATGGCAGAAGGTGGTGACATAGGTGATCTCCTTGAAGGCTGGGCTCCTGCTATGCTGGCCACCTGAAAGTCTCTCTAATTCAGTTTCTGTTTCTCTATAGAAGGGGGATTTGCTATAAAACTGAGCTAATCCTTTGATCACTTGCAGTCTTCCTATTAATAGCTGTTCAGTCTCATTGGCTTTGGAATAAAAGCACACACAAAAAAGAGAAATATTATTAATAGGTGACAAACAATTAAAGCCATTTTTCTGTGATCCTTTTCATGGATAATACCTAAATTTTAAAGCTAAGCACAGAAAAATCACAAGCATTGTCATGGCTCTACACATCAGAAAAACACATGGAATTAACAAGACTTCTGCCTGGATCTTATGGCTAGAGCAAACTCACAGACCTTTTCCTAAGTATGTGGACCCTAATCCTTAAAATAGACTCCTTACCATACAGAATTATAAGTTTTAATTTTTAAAAACTTGGTCCTTATTTTCTATGTGCAAAAGTATGAGTTTCAATTTCTTTTTCTAAAAATATGTAACAATTATCATATTTTCTTTTTAATGAAAACTCCTTTTATAATGAGAGTAGCACAGAAGCGGTCATTCATAAATTCAATAAAGAACATCCATAGCTCTTATGGAGAAGAAAGTCTATCTGTTAACTGGAATCACAATACCATATGAGTAGGAATTCAGAAAGCCAGGTTTTAACAAGCCACCACATTGCTAAACTTCAGCCAAATCAACCAGGCAAAGACCTGTGAATCTAAGCTATTCACAATACCTTCACCCCCTTCCTCTTGCATTGCTGTCACTGCAGCAGGGGAGTCTCCATTGATGACATCCAGGAAGAAGTCTAAAGGGTTATTGAGGTGCTCACAATGGTAACCTATAAAACAAAGCAACCAAAGAACTCAACCTGATGGGCTTGAAAAGTAAAAACTACTCACTTCCAGAGAGTGAGGGAAGTAAAGCTAGGGAAGACAAATCTAGCATTTTCTCTGCCATGTTCTTGCTTTCTTCTCACCTCACTTTATATTTTATACTTTCCTCTTGTTCATTCATATAATATTTCAACATGCTTTGTCTCCTAATCCTGTGTGTGTGCATAAACACATACATATATAATACATATATATATAATACATATACAATACACATATATACGTGTGTGTGTGTGTGTGTGTGTGTGTGTGTGTGTCCTGGACTGTTTAGAACATAATATCCTGGTCTTTTTTATGGGGATCAACTGATGCTTATCAGTACTTCTTAAATCTAGATACAAGAAAAAAAATGCCCGGGTTCATTGTGTTTTCTGAGTTCATGAAGCAAATGCTGGGATGGCACTATGCATGTCAACAAGATTGTTTCTCCACCTATTAAATTCAGAGGTCCAAATTATCATTATCATATCATGCTGCCATAATTAAAAATAGACAATAAATTCCCAGAACTGAATTCTTGAGAGAACATGACCAGCACAGCACACCCAAACTCTCACCTCAACTTCTTCTGGCACATTATCTAAACTTGGCCTGAGACCAGACTCTTAAGTATTTCCTCTGAACTCTCCAAACCCATACATACTTAATTTTAAGTGGCTGAGAATAAACTAAAATATTAAGATAGCTAGTGAATGTTTAAAACTATATTTGGGGTTATGAAGAAATATCTATATTAATTTCTAAATGTTTCTAAAATGAAGCAGATTGCATGAGCCATTAAAAAGATCACACAATTCAATCTGAAAGAAAACCTGGGAGCCCAGAAATGTTTGCCTACCCAAGTCAAACATAGGACCAGCCATTCCAGTGGCTAATAATAACTTACACCCACTCAAGCCAATTTAATGTTACTAGAAAACAACGAGCATCTCCATGAGCCCTCATAAAAGTAGAACAACATCACTATCTGTTGCATGGTCTAGAAGAAAATGAATGATACTGGGTCTTTCCAAAAATGTTCAGCTGAAAAGCCTGGCTGTGAGTCCAACCAGTTAATTATTGAACTCTCAGGGAATGGTCACCATAACTAGGAAGTAGGCCCATGAAAAACACACACACACAAATACACACATGCATTCATACTCAAAGAGGGGAGAAGAAGGAAAGAGACCTAAACAATAAGCAAACACTGAAAAATGAAGACAACTCCTGACACCAACTGACCAAAAATGTTTTGGAGTGATGGCACCCGTTAGTCTATGCAGAGACCAAGCAGCGCTCCTGTCCACCTCACTGTCCTCCCCTAGGAGTCTATGATGGAAGGATCTAGTGCCTGAAAACCACACCTGCTGATTTAAAATACTCCAAAGCCTTCTGGGCAGGACCGTGGTACATTAGCTTTCCTGAGGCCAATATGGTGAGGCTGTCAAACAGCTTGAAGATGGAATGCTGAGGCTGATGAAAGGAGAAGATGATAGTTCGTCCTTGTTCAGAAATGCTAAGTTGAAAGAAGGAAAATAATGAGTCATTAGATATCAGAACATTGCTCTTCTTAATAAAATACTTTATTGTATGGTGAAAGCATTTGTCCAGAGTTTAATTTGATTTTTCTCATATGAACTTCTCATCTCATGTTAGCAACATGACACTTGGGGAACCTAAACTAAATGTTTTCATTAAAATAGGTGTGAGTTATTATTAGAGCTGGGGCTGGGAATATAGCTCAGTTGGCAGAGTGCTTGCCTCACATGCACAAGGCCCTGGGTTCAATGCCCAACACCACAAAATAAAAAAATAACATAAAATAAAATAAACCATAGGGTCTCTTAAGGATGATACACAACAGTCTAGAATCCACTAGAAAGTTCATTGACAATGCAGATTCTTGGACAGTCTTCATAGATATTGGATTAGAATCTCTCGGGGTGAGTTCAGGGTGTCCATATTTTTAACAAGCAGTCCAGGTCTACATATGTACTACATATTAAAACAATGATCATATGACCCGTTCTCATTGATCATTTAAATCTTCTGGCTCTTTAGGATTGTTTTCATCTTTTTGCCTGATAATACAGTTGACATTAATAAGTGCTTTCTACCTTCTTTCAATTTTCACAATGTTGTATAACACAGTTCCCATATTATTGTCTCCTTCTATTTGCAGATATAATTTAAAGATCAAGTAACTGGCCAAGGAGACAATGTTACTAAAGGGCAATGCTGAGATTTAAAGTCTGATCTATCCCATGGCAGAAACAGTACTAAACTATCATTTCACAGGAGTTATCATTTATAGTTAAAAGAAATGTTCAAAATCACTGTTAAAAATGTTATTAAAAATATCACCTTTCTTTGCTTTTGTGTCTGTTTTCCTTGTTAAGAACCTTTTATACCTAAAGGATTTAAAATCAGCCTACTACAGTGACTCAGTCACATCAATGTTCAAAGCAGATCAATTCACAATAGTTAAGCTATGGAACCAATCTAGGTGCCTTTCAGCAGATGAATGGATAGAGAAAATATGGTATATATACACAATGTGATATTACTCAGCCATAAAGAAAAATGAAATTATAGCATTTGCAGGTAAACGAATGGAACTGGAGTCTATCATGCTAAGTGAAATAAGCCAAATCCTGCCCCCAACAAAAGGCGGAATGTTCTATCTAATATGTGGATGCTAACACACAATAAGGGGAGGTGGGGAGGGAAGGATAGAATTTCATTGGATTAGACAAAAGGGAATAAAGGAATTTGAGGGGGGATGAGAATAGGAAAGACAGTTGAATGAAACAGACAAAACTTTCATATGTTCATATATGAAAAGACAACCAGTGTAACTCCCCATCACGTACAACCACAAGAACGGCATCCTAAATTACACTCCATGTATGTATAATATGTGAAAATACACTCTACTGTCAACTTTATCTAAGCAGAACAAATATAATTTTTTAAAAATTCAAAATAAAAAACAAAATGCTTGATAATTTGAAGCTATCCCTTCATGATTAATGGGGCAGGGATATATGACTAGATGAAAAGCCAATTGGAAAGGTCTGAGTATATGAATGGTTTCATCAACTATTTAGGGTGATAAAGGTGAGTTGTTTGTGGGGAGAACCTTAGTCTATAAATTTTTACTGCAGCCATATTCCCAAGGAAGAGCATCCTGTCTGGAAATCTAGTTGTTAGTGTATGGGGGGGGGGGGAAGGGCAATCTTGTTATTAAAAATATTTTATGACAAAAATCACTTTACACAATCAATTTACACATTTGATTAAGTAACTAGCATATGCTATCAGGATACCCTAAGTTATTCTGCCTCCAATTGAGTCAGACCCTATGATTAATGATTTCAACACAACGTATAAAAGAAGTAGCTAAGGATTCCTTATTCATAAGCAAAACAGGACAATTGGAATATTATCCCATCTTCCTGTATCTTCTCTCCATTCCTCCCCTGTCCCTCCTCCCCATAATGGTTCAGCATCCACATATCAGAGAAAACATTTGGCCTTTGGGTTTTGGAGATTGGCTTATTTCACTTAGCATGGTAGTCTCCAACTCCATCCATTTACCTGTAAATACCATAATTTTATTTTCTTTTAATACAGCTGCTTTCTTAATAAAAGAAAATATGATTTCATTTACTTCTTCTTCCTTTTATTCAAGTCCAAATCTTAGGAGTTATTCTTCCAATCCTTATAACCCAGATCCAATATCTGAGTCAATCCTGTTGATTCCCCTTAAAAACAGATCCAGAACCCAAGGTCTTCTTTCCACCTCTCCAGGAGAATCCTGGTTCAATCCCTGTCCTGGTCCATACCCTTTTCTTCTCACCATAAGCAGCTCCTCCCTGGTAACCTTCACTCACCGTGGACTGACTGCACAGCCATTGCTCTGCTCTGACACTCTCAAAATGCTCTCACATCCCTTAGTGACAGGAAATGCCATAATTTTTACAGTTGTCTATGAGGTCTATGCAGTGTGACATCAGCCCAACTCTACCTCACATTATATTCTAACTATATGGTCTCCCCAGAATTCATATGTTGAAATCCTAACCTCAGTACCCTAAAATGTGGCTCCTTTGTAGATAGAGTCTTCAAAGAGGGCCGTAAGATTAAATGAGATTGTTGATGGTCCTCTTCTTAATGGTGTCCAGTTAGGAGGAGATTAAGATGCAGACACACATGGCCATTTACAAGCCAGTGAGATAGGCCTCACAGGAAACAGCCCTGCAGACACTTTGACCTCAACTTTTGGCCTCCACAGCTATAAGAAAAGTAATTTCTGTTGCTCATCCCCCAGCTTGTGGTATTGTTATGACACTGCAGAAACCAATATCCACTCCTCATAGTCACTGGGTTCTGTCCCTTTGGCCTCTCTGATGCTCCACACACTTCAAGCATGCTCTATCTTGGGGTCACTAGGTCACTCCTTCCAACTAGAACTCTCTTCTGCAGATACAGCTGGTCTCACTCATTTACTCCCAGCTCATGTGTCACATGTTGTGATCTTCCCTGACCCTCCTGCTATTTAAATCAGCTCCCCACTACCACCATAGCCATCTTTCCATATGCTCTTGTTTCAACTTTTTTCTTTTAATCACTTCCTGTTGTTTGTTTTCAAGAAAGAAGGAACAAGTTACATTGTTCATTTCTGAATCCCTTTCACCAAGAATACATGGTACATAGACATGACCAGATATTAAATTAATGAAACATCCCTAACCCTATAGTACTTACTTTTTCAGGAGTGAAATGATAGCATTTGCTGCGCTGGAGTCTAAGCCAGTTGTGGGCTCATCTAGGAACAAGATGGAAGGATCAGTGATCAGCCCCATTGCTATACTGGTCTTTTTTCTTTCTTCTCCAGATCTAACCTAAAACACAAATTATTGAATTATCAACAAGAATGACAATGATCTAACTATCATTTGGTGAACTAAGCTCTGCTAATCTTGCTAGAGAACTTTATCTCACTATCCTCATTATGAAACAGGAAGTAAATGAACCTGGGAGAAGGAGGAAGTTTCTCTTTTACCAGATGAGTAAATTGAGGCTCAGGGCAAAGCTTCCCATTGGCTGGACCTGATACGAAGCCCATGCTTTTAACAGTTCTGAATGTTCCTCACCAAGACAAATATTTAGTTTTAAGATAGGAAGTTAGAATACTAAAATGAAATGGCCCTAACAGTAAAATTATAGTCTGAAACAGGAGAAAAGATAGGAGGAGAAAAGGAAATGGATCTGTAGTAAATTATTAGTCTTCTATCAACACTCGTGTTTCCACCCAAAGTCCCCAGGTAGACTTACAAGAACAGGATGCACTCATACAGGAAAGTTCACTTTCCAACATACCATATCAGTACCTGTCCAATCACCATAATGCTTTGACAATGGGTACAGACTACACCCTGACTCACGGCAGAATTCCAAATTCACACTTTCAGACATATGCAGAAAATATGGGATATTCATATCCTGAAGATGGGCTATTCCACAGGACAGATGGCTCAATCTTTGCAAACATTAAATGCTCATTTGTGTAGTGAAGGGACTAGGAAGGTTTGGGGAGACAGAAAGTAGGAAATAATATTGAAATTAAGAATCTTCAAAGAGATAGTATTCAAATGCTACTCACAGACCTTGCTTGAATCTATTGATAACTAAACTCTAAAATGTCTTTGGAGAGGATTTGGGAAATGTGAATGAATAAGGGCTTGACATAGCTGATGATATGAAATATTGTTCACTTTGTTAGTTGATCAATATATTGTGGTAAGGTAAGCAAATATCCTTATTTTTTTCTAGATTCCTAGCAAGTACTCAAGGATGAAATAGCATATAACATTATATAAAATACTTCAGTAAAAAAATAGCTGTACTAATCATGGGAGAAGATGTTAACAACTGAGAAATCTAGGTGAACAGTATTTGTAATTATATTATTATAGTAATTATCCAAAAATCAAATCATTAGAGTAATCAGACCTTCTCTACAGTTCTATAATGATTAAAATGACATATAACATTAAAAAATTAAAGATTATTTCAATCAGTTAGATTATATGAATTATAAGTCAATAGTGCCTCTGTATATTTTTCCTAGAAATCCAAGCAAGCACCTTAAGGCAGTGAGTGCCTTTAAAAGAGAGTAAAAGAAAGCATACACCCAGAAAGAAAAAAAAAATCAAGTGAATAAACAGCCAAAGAAATGACAATTCAATCACTCATTAAAAATAAAAAAGTGGAAAATAATGGCATCACAGGGTTATTCTTCTAAACAAAATACACTTCACATAAAAAAAATATGAGCAAATATAACAGGAAGCAGCAGCCAGTGGTACCCCCATTCTCCATTGCCTCTAGGAAGCAGGTCACAGGGGCTTAATCCAGAGTCATCACTTTTACAGGGCTCATTATCACCCCAACCTACAAATGTCTAATCAGTAAAATTTCCATATTGAGTGGTCAACTATAAAACTTACTTTTTCATCTCATTTTTCTTCCTTTATCCTGCACAACCTGCCAAAGGAGGAGTTCATTTCTTTACAGTTTGTTACTCTTGCTGACAACTGCGTTCCTCAAACCTGAAAGAGCCTGGCCTATGAGAGTCTGGAAATAAATATCAGCAGAGAAAAGGGAAGAAGGGAGAGAGTGAGGGAGGGGATGAGCAACAAAAGTGCCAAAGAAACCATGGAAAAAATATCCTGGTCACTGCAAAAATTCAATATAAATTTTTTTTTCTTTCCTTTTTTTTTTTTTTTTTTGTGGTGCTGGGGATTGAACCCAGGGCTTTGTGCATGCAAGGCAAGCACTCTACCAACTGAGCTATGTCCCCAGCCCCTCAATGTAAATCTTAATGAAAATAAATATAGATTTTAAGACAAACTTACACCAGTATGAAACAGCAAGAATCCTTGGATTCTAGTCATTTATGAATTCCAGAAATATAAAAAAAATCAACTGAACAAAATCCTCCAGAAGAAGAGAGGCAGAAGAGCAGCCAAAAGAAGGAAGAGAAAGAAGAAAAGTCAGTGCAAAGACATCAAAAGAGCTGTAACTTGAATAATGAGGGTGGAGGAGCATGGAAAAGGCCTGAGGAGCACTCTCCACAGGGATCACACTCTATTCACACCAGGATCACACTAAGGTTAAGATTGCTTTTCCAGCTTCATTTCCACCTTCATAGTATGTAACCAGTCACTTTTCTCATCATTAAAGAAAGCAGACCCTTTTGTCCTCACATGCTCTAGGAAACTTCTGATTAAGGTCACATGGTCCACACAGGGAGGTCCTTGTTCCTGTCTGATTCTGTCGGGTTTTTTCACATTACCTTGGAATCAGCCACTTCATCCAGACCTAACTCCTCAATGACCACTTTCATCCGTTCATCTTTTTCATGTTTTGTCATAGTTGTTGGAAGCCGAAGAGCCGCTGAGAACGCTAAGTTTTCTCTCACCGTCAGGGTGCCCAGTACGAGATCATCCTGAAGGGAAGATGGGATTTCAATGGGACACACTGAGTCTTTTCTAAAAGCATCTCTTTAGTGTAGTTATCTTAATCCATAAAAACAATATAAGCAAGGTAAAGTTCCAGCTAATGTTGAACTTTCAACTCGATAAACTTCAGTGATCCACAGACAGCTACAGACTGGAGTGAGGCATTTTCATCCCCCATCTGCAACCCAGGCAGAGCACAGGTAATTATGATGATTTCTAGACACATCCAGATTGTTTTATGTGAAGATTTGACAAAGGCATCTTCAAAGGGAAGGAAAGAGATGAAAGAAGGGCAAATAGGGCCATAGCAGACCCTTATGGAAATGACACCAAAATTATATTTGACACCATTGCTTACAAGCCCTCTCCACCTTTCCATTTTATTCCACCTTCAATCTAAGCAGATATTGTGAAAAGCTGGTGTAAATAAATTCAGTTCCTTGAACATGTAAATCCAACTGGTTGCACACAAAATCATAAGCCAAAGCACTTCCCACATAGAAGTAGGGGAAACCTAGAAGGCAGACTTGCAATACTTACTTGAACCACAAAACCTGAATTATATTTGAAATTGGCAGGTCGAGGGGCTCCATTGATCAAAATATCTCCAGATAATCCACTTGGATCATTCCTTGCAGCTAAGACATCCAGAAATCTATAAAAAGACACGTATGTTGTGTTTTCCCCCTAACACAGGCCATATCTCTCAGTTATTATGAATCCAAATATTGCTCCAGGTAGAAAGTGAACTAGTCAAAAAAGTCAATGGTTTAACTAAAATTGTACAAATAATATGTGTACATATACATAAATAATATTCAAAAAAATTTCAGTGCATTATAGGAATATATAATAGTGGGGTTCATTTTGATATATTCATGTTTGTATCATTTCAATCCTCAGTACTTCCTTTCTCCCTCCCTCCCTCCTGCCCCATGATCTCCTTGCTCTACTCTATTCATATTCCTCTTATTTATTTATTTAGTAGTACTGAGTATTGAACCCAGGGCCTTGTGCATTTGAAGCAAGCACTCTACCAACTGAGCTATATCCCCAGGCCCTATTTATTTATTTTTAATTGGTGCATCATAGTTATATACAAAACTGGGATGCATTGAGATGTATCATACTTACTTATAACATCATTTGGTCAACTCCATCCCCCAGTTCTGCACAATTCTTTTCCCTCCTCTCAACCCCTGATCCCCCCATCTCTACTGATCTCCCTTCTATTTTTGTGACATCCTTTTTTATTCCCTTTTTCCTCTCTAGCTTCTGCATATGAGAGAATACATTCAACCTTTGATGAGTCTGGCTTAGTTCACTTAGCCTGATGTTCTCCACGACCATCCATTTACTTGCAAATGACATAATTTCATTATTCTGTATGGCTGAATAGAAATCTCTCTCTCTCTCTCTCTCTCTCTCTCTCTCTCTCTATATATATATATTTTTATGTATGTATATATGTGTATACATATATATAAATATATATACATTTATGTATATTTAAATTTTCACCTTCCTTTACATTATATGTTAAAAGAAAGCTCTAAAATGTACAAGCAAGGTAACATCAGTTTATCCATCAAAGACCTTCCAAATGAACTTCCTGGCTGTCTGACCTTGATGGATCCAACCCACACTCCTTTCTCTAAATTCATGTCTTCAATTATTCTTTCTGCTCCATCCACATTTTTTATATTTTTTTATCTTTTATTGATTTTATTATTTTTTAAATACACGACAGCAATAGAATGCATTACAATTCTTATTACACATAGAGAACAATTTTTTGTATCTCTGTATATAAAATATGTTCATTAGAACTGTAATGCAAAAAAAAAAGTTCATGTATAAAGGCATAAATTAATATCATTCTCCTCTTCTTCCTCCTCATTAGCTCATAATGTGGTAACATGTCAATCACACAATCATGCTTAGCAAGACTGATCTAATAAGACTTCTTGGTCCTTGGATTAAATCCACAGGCTAGCCCAAATGCATGTTATCTCTGGCACCTAGGAACAGATTGCAGACACACAGCAAAGGTTCAATCAACACCTGCTTCCACCAAAGTGATTTTTTTTAAAAAGCACACTGAAACTACAAAGACTATATTTTCCATTATACTCACAAAGATTTGCCTCCACCTATGCATTCCATGATAGCATTAAGGCCAGGTTTCATGACCCCACTGCAAAAAAAGAAGCATAATATCTTTTTGTCCCATTTGAAACAAAATTCTATTAATTTTATTAATATGAGTCTGCATTGAATACGTTCAAGGAAGCCTGATGAAATTGCTGAAAGAAAACAAACACTAACTTTTAAAGATTTAAAGAATGAACTGTTGATTAATACAAGTCTAATATAAAAGGGATCACTAGTCAGAATTTATAAGAAAGTTGGCTTATATTCCTCTAAATTCTCTTCATTTATTCTCCAAACCACTTACTGATTTTGGAAAACTACCCATCCAAGATTCAAAGTTGCTAGAACCTAGGGGTAGAGCTTAGTGGAAAAACCAGCACTTACCCTGGGTTCCATTACCAGCAACAATAACAAAAGTTCCTTGATATAATTAACAGATTCTCATTAAGCTTCTCCTTTATGCTTATTCCTCTAAACACAGTTCATAATAGTTTCTAAGAAATGTTTGATTATCAACATCTTGAAATCATCTCACTTGGTGACTAGTTAAGTTCTACACAATTAGTAACTAATTTTTATAATATCAGTTATAGTGTTCTCTCTGCTAAAATCTCCTCAGAGCAAACATCAACATACCTTAAGTAGAAATGAAAGGCTAGAGTGAAGCACTCCATAGTTAAAGAAAGCATTACCATTTCTTAACCTGGAAATAACGCTTTACCAGTCAGAAAAAGAAAGAGAGGGAGAGGGAGAGAGGAAAGAAAGGAAGGAAGGAAGGAAGAAAGGAAGGAAGAAAGGGAGGGAGGGAGGGAGGAAGGGAAAGAGGGAAGAAATATGTACACCCTCAAAATAGATCATTTCCTTCCTTCTTAAGAGCCCAGTAAGAGGCCTGAAAAATGGTCAATTTAGAATGGGGAGCCATCATTCCAGTAGGGAATATCCTTAAAGGATACACAGAATAGACACCAATATTTTCAAAAAATAAGCTAAGTGGGTGTGTGAGAGTGCTAAATATTCAGATAGAGTAGGAAGGAGGAAAACAAATTACAGCAGGGCCAGAAACCTGATGTCCTTGCTCAGTACCTCTTAAGAACTTGGAAGCAGGTCAACATGTATTTCACCGAGAAAACAGTATCTATTCCAAGGGCAAGATCAAAGCTGACAGCTATTCTTTCTCAGACAATGATTCCACAGAGGTCCATCCTCTGTCACAGCTGTCATGAGGGATGAACTTCCCAGCACAACTGCCCCACGTGCTCACATCCACAAGGACCTCGGCATTCACTGCCTGTGGCAACTGCGTCTGGCATCTTTTTCCACCTGCCAAACCCCAAATCTGTTTCCTGGGTCAGAGCCCCCACAGGACACCAATCATTTCACCTCTAAACCTTCTTGCATTGTCTTACACATGAGCTTTTGGGGACACCACGTATCTAAACCATAAAGAAGAAAACACCTTTCTTCTGACCAAACTCAAATTCACTTCCTGTCACCATAGAGGGGAAGTATGGGCATACTGGATGGTACAGCCACCCAGGAGGAAAGAGATGAGGCTATAACACTCACTGCTCCAGAAATATTCAGAGTAAGATTGATAGGAGCATTATAGCCTAGACTCTTTTCCTCCTCAGGCTTTATTAGAACCAACTGGGGAGTTCCAGTCAGGAGCAATAGCCTATCCTGCCCTTAAGCAAGATAGCTCAGGCTGGCAGTGATCTCCAAAGAAAGGCCTCACAGATAAGACGCTCTCATAACCAGCCAAGGCTGGAGTTGGAATCTCCAGGAAGGGTACTGCATCTGCTGGGATATATTTAAATCCCAGGTGATTTATACCATTCCTTTCTACTGCAGCCTCAACTTTCAAAAATGGCTTCATTGGTGAGGAAAAAAGGTTATTGAAAAAAGTCAGCAGGCCATATTTGTTGTTCCATCAAGGTACACGCGGAAGATTTTCTCCAACAATTGTGGCTTTGGACATTGAGTCATTCTGTGGTACTGGCTATCTCCTGTATGGAAAGTAGTGAGCCATGTGGAACATTAGCTGCTTAAGGCTTACAGGAACATTTGCTTTTGGGGGTACTGGTCAGTCAGATACAATTCAGAAGACATAAAAATTTTCCAACACTCTAATTGGATTGGATGAGTGCATGTTTATCCAGTTTTGTTTTGGAAGAGTATATCAGAGCCCATATAACTGGAAGTGCATGGTGATTTAGTACAACTATTTCATAAGTTTAAACTTCACAACTGGCTTCAATAGGCCATGTTCTGGTGGCTCCTGCACCAGATTTATCCACTTGTAAAAAGAATTCCATTTCAGAAGAGCACACCCTGTTCCTGGGTTGTAAGGAACTTTGGGAATCTTATTCAGAAGATAAACTATAAAGGTTTGTTCAACTCATACCTTGAACTAACTCCATTCCCTCCTTGATGTTTAGGGCTTTTTTGGTAACACATAAGATAAAAATCTCTGGTCCACTGCTGAAAGAGGGAAAGGAATTCCTGAAGCAGCACATTTTGATCACCTAAAACATTTCCCAAGGATAGTCCATGCTTCCGTCATTAGATAAGTCTCTACTGAAAAGATGGACTATATTTACCCACAATCACTTTATTTGAGTTCATGTCCCCCCCCTAGTAAATTCACTTCCTCTTTGATTATGTGTGCTTAAATTATATATGTATATATTATATATGTAAATTATGTATATATTCTAGATAAAGTTGTTTTTGTTTGTTTGGTTTGGTTTTTTGTTTGTTTATTTGGTTAGTGGGTTAATTTTTTGCCTGTCTCTAAAAAGAAAATTCACAATTTAAGTTTTGCTAGCCTTAGTCATTAGATGTAAAGTTTCTACTTGGCATCAAATTTAGAAATGCAAATTTAAGACTTAACAGACTTCTTTCAATATCAGGTCAAAAATATGGCTTTTAAAACTAGAAAATATTAAATCTAAGTTTTAAATTTCCTTGAATGTTCCTGTATGTTTATATGCTTATACACAGACTGTTTTCATGATACTAAATTGACTTATTATCAGACCAAATGCCTTTCACATGAATTTAGTAAATCTGTAATAAGTCATTTGAACGTGTTCATAAGAATGTCTTCAAAATCTAGTAACTTGAGTTTATGGCCTGCTAACCAATTCGGATATTTGTCTAGCTATCAGAGGAATAGTGTTCATTGTTTTCTATATACAAGAATCTCTTAGGACTTTTTTGGGGAAAGAAATTAAAACATTAACTATCTTGCAATAAATGAATAATCTAAACATAGCTGTTAAAATGAGTATATTAAATAAGAGAAGTGTTTTGAATTCTTAAAAATGTATCTTTTAAAATAAGTTTGTTTTTGTAAGAAAACTTAAATCTAGAGCTAAAAATCTTGGGCTTTCCACACCTCAGAAATGTCTGCTTTCTTTTAATAATTGTGTACTGCTTATATCTATATATGACATTCATGGTTTGTCTAAAATATTAATTGTTTAGTAGATTTGGAAATTGATGAGGGAGCCTATACCTTTCCTTGTTCAAAGCCTAAGATAAATGAAAGGAAATAACTAATGGTATAAAAGGCTAGTAACCTATGCATAGTTTCTATTTCTGGCTTCTAGAATGACATCATTTTACTATGAGCTAAAAATTATGGAGTTTTTGTTGTGGTAGTTCACTGATCATAAATCCTAGCAGTATTTTCAAAAATTAAATATTGGTATGTCTATATCTTTATTCAGCAACCTTGGCTACATACACATTTCCAGAGCCTAGCTGTACATTCAAAAACTATATTTTCTGAATAAACTGCCTTGGTTGTATTTTAATTATCAGCAAGGAACTTCACTGTCTTCTTCAAATGTTAAATGGATTTTGTGCTATGCTTGATGTCAAGTCTAATAATATTTAAATTCTAGAAGAACTTAAAGCAAATTTTAAAATGCATTTTTAAGTGGAATCCAGCAGTCTGGTAATGACTCAACCACTCTTAGCAAAGTTTACAAAAGAACCAACTTAAAGAACAAAGATTTTATATTTTATCAAAATAATGTCTTGTCTTTTCTGCAGATTTTATTATATTTTTAATTGTGTAAAGGAAAATTAGGTCCTACAACAAGTTGATATTTATTCAAATTTTTATTTGTTCTAAAGTCTCATTTGGTTTATAACTCTAGTTAAATATGTTTTATTTTTAAATGCTCAAAAAATTTAAAAATCTATACGAATTTGGCAGTGGAAATGTATAAGACAGAGAATTTCCTCTGGTGAGCAAAATCCCGAGGAGTAACAGGCATTTTGTTTTCCACACTTGAAATATTCTGCAGTTTCTCCCAAGAACTAGTAAGAAAACTAATACATATGCAATGCATAGCTGCTGTGGCAATGCCCTGCATGAGGAGGCTCTGTGCTAGAGTCTTATCAGCCTTGACCTTGATCTCAGGTGTTCAGCTTCTAGGAAGAAAGGAATTCTCTTTAACTATTAACTATCTTGCAATAAATGAATAATCTAAACATAGCTGTTAAAATGAGTATATTAAATAAGAGAAGTGTTTTGAATTCTTAAAAATGTATCTTTTAAAATAATTTTGTTTTTGTAAGAAAACTTAAATCTAGAGCTAAAAATCTTGGGCTTTCCACACCTCAGAAATGTTCTGCTTTCTTTTAATAATTGTGTACTGCTTATATCTATATATGACATTCATGGTTTGTCTAAAATATTAATTGTTTAGTAGATTTGGAAATTGAATGAACCACAATGTTTCACCAAGCTCTGCTGCACCTGAACTTGTCCACATAACAATAACTTGAAACAATGAACTTTCTTAAGAGCTACACAGATGTCCTAACATTGCACATTGCAACTATAGTATATAACTGAAGAGTAAGCTGCATAATGTTGCTAAGTTTGTAACCTACCTAATGACACAATGAACAATAATGTACTCTCAGTGACCTAATAACCTATTGATATAAATAAAGCTGGCAGCTTGGAAAAAGGAGACTTTCTGCCATCCTGCCTCCACACCTTGCTTCTGTCTCCTTTTGTTTTCTTTACAAAAATCTGACAGTTTGAGTATACTGGTATTAATTATGATAATTGTCTTAATTGTGGAGGAAATTAAGTTGTTTTGCTATGTCGCAAATTTCTCTAAATAGTAATGGTAGTAAGTAGCTTCTACAGGAATTTTCCTTTCTCCCCTCATTTATTTTCTACTTCAAAAACTAGTTTATACAACAATTGCTCAAACATATTATATAAACATTTTTACAGTTTGCCAGTTGCTTTCAAAGTTAAACACATACTTAAGTGATCCAATCATTTCATTCCAAATTTAGCCAAAATAAATAAAATGGGTTAATACATTTTTACAAAGAGATAAACATAAATGTTCACAGCAGCTTATTGGTGATAAGTATAATCTGTGAAGTTCATTCAATAAAGTAGTATTTTGAAAAGTTTATGCACATACCTGATATTTGTAAATATTTCTCTCTCAAATGTTTTCCGGCGAAATAGAAAGCTATGCTCCTCTTTTACTCGATAACAGATGTTATGAAAACTTAACACAGTCTCCTGAGTAAATGACTTCAGGTCAATGAATGCCATCTTAGGGAATTATTAGGTATTTTTGTGACTCTGGGATAAAATCCTGGTAATGACTGGAAGAAATGTGGAGTTTCTGCTTTTCTGTAGAGGAAAAAGCAATCGTAAGTTGACAGTCCAGATAAATGAGATTACAAACATTACAAAATACTATATACTACTACTTTTTTGCTCTTTTATTTTTGTTTGTTTGTTTGTTTTTGTTATTGGGGATTGAACCCAGAGGTGCTTTACCACTTAACTACATGTCCAACATGTTTAAATTTCTTTTTTTTTTATTTTGAGGAAAATCTTGCTAAGTTGTTGAGGTTGACCTTAAACATGCAATGCCTCTGTCCCTCAGGGAGTTGTAATTATAGGTGGGTGTCACTGAACCCAGTTAGATAACAGAAGTCTGTTGTTAACTACACTGCAGTGCGTAGATTCCTTTCTAATGAACAGACCACAGCACCATAAAAACAACCTTAGAATCCATAATGGGAAGAAAGACAACTTTGAATACTTGAACTCCAATAAGATGTGAAAGAAATTCCTAAAAAAAAAAATAAATAGTGAAAAGTATGAAAATTACAACTCATAAAAAAGAAAAAAATACAGATAGTCTTGTCTGGCTTGAAAAACCATATAACAATACAACTTCAGTTCTGGAACATCCTACCTGATGGCACTCATACCCCCTTTTTAATTGATAGATTGGTTCTATTTCAAAATTTATAAGATTATTTGTTTCTTTACTTTCTTATTGTATTTTAGAGTTTATAACATTATTATTACTAAAAGGGGCTTAACTAAACAGTCAGGAGAAATTTCTAGTTCCAGACTTTACAGCTCTAATTGCTATTGCCTTTAATCATCTAAGAAGGTATTGTAGTTTGGATATAATATATCCACAAAGTCCATGTGCTAAAGGATTAATTGCCAGCCTATGGTGCCATGGGAGATAAAAACGTGGAGATTGGACCTGATTTGGAGGAGGTGGATCACTGGGGGTACATTCTGGAGGGATATATCTTGCCACTATTCTTTCTTTGCCTCCTGGTTTCCATGAACTAAAACTTTCATTCTTCTCCTTACAGTATGATGTTTATGCCTTTTAATATCCCTGGAAGCAATGGAGTGAGCTGACCAGGGTCTGAAATCTCTGAAACCATTATTCATAATAAACCTTTCCTTCTTTAAATTGGTTTTCTCAAGTATTTTGTAACAGCAATGGAAAGGTAACTAAAATAAAAGGCAAATTCCAATTTGTTTGCAATAAATTAATCACTTCCTTAATGGACAAACATATTTAAATTTTAGGAAGGTTTAAAATCAAGTCTGAAAATTATTAAGTAAATCAAACCAATAGTTAAACAGCTCAAGGCTTTAAAGAAAAAACTTCACATTAAGTTTATAAATGTTTAAAATGTTTCACTAAACAATTTATATAAGACCCCTGAAACAGATTTAATTAGAATGAGACTTTAAGGTGAGCTAAGCTTGTAAAAGAGGTTTGAAATATTAACTGCAATAAAACCAAAGTCATCCATGAAGAACTTTCTCTCCACTTTTGGTGGACTAGCTGCTCCTAACTAATCATTCTCCTGAGAACAACCAGAAAAGTAGATCAAACAATAGAGGACATGTACAGTGTTCTCTGATGACAGCAGCCAAAGCAGCCAGAACTTGAGGAACCAAAATCCTGGAAATGAGGAAAACGCATTGGAGCAAACCCAGCTCCCACCCTTTCCTCACCAGGCAGTTGAACACACAAACTGCACATGTGTGGGGAAATATAGGAGTATCTGGTAAAAGGAAACTGCTAGAGGGGTCTTGCTAAAACCACTATTATTTCAAATATTTTAGCAGACTCTCAGGTAGGGAGACAAAATTAAAAGTCATCAGCCAGCAAAGATAATAGCCCTGAAAACTGCTAGGTTTTGAGATCCCAGATGTCCTGGGAATATAGGGAAACCAAAACAGACCAGACTCTGCTCTAAGAAGGTGATCTGCTTTCATAGTGTCCCAGAGAGTTTGATATGTTGTGTCTATGTTCTCAATTACCTCTACTTTTGACAAAATACAGCACTCCTTCATGTTCAAAACATTAGAAAAACTAAGGATAACAGAAATATATCCCAACATTGTAAAGGCTATCTATGCTAAGCTTCAGGCCAACATCATTCTAAATGGAGAAAAATTGAAGGCATTCCCTCTAAAACCTGCAACAACACAGGAATGCCCTCTTTCACCACTTCTATTCAATATAGTTCTTGAAACACTGGCCAGAGCAATTAGACAGACAAAAAAAATTAAAGGGATATGTATAGGAAAAGAACTTAAATTAGCACTAATTGCTGATGATATGATTCTATACCTAGCAGACCCAAAAAACTCCACCAGAAAACTTCTAGAACTAGTAAATGAATTCAGCAAAATAGCAGGATATAAAATCAATACCCATAAATCAAAGGCATTTCTGTATATCAGTGACAAATGTTCTGAGAAGGAAATGAGGAAAACTACTCCATTTATAATAACCTAAAAAAATAAGATATTGGGAATCAACAAAAGAAGTGAAAGATATATAAAATGAAAACTATAGAACCCTAAAGAAAGAAATAGGGTCTGGGGATATATCTCAAATGGTAGAGAGCTTGCCTTGCATGCACAAGGCCCTGGGTTCAATCCCCAGCACACACACACAAAAAAGAAGAAGAAAAAGAAAAATAGAAGAAGACCTTAGAAGATAGAAAGATCTACCTTGCTCTTGGATAGGCAGAATTAATATTATCAAAATGACCATACTATCAAAAAGACTATACAAATTTAATGCAATTCTGATCAAAATCCCAATGGCATTCCTCATGGAAATAGAAAAATCAATCATGAAATTCATCTGGAACAATAAAGAGACCCAGAATAGCTAAAGCAATTCTTAGCAGGAACAATAAAGCAGGTGGCATCACTATACCAGACTTTAAACTGTACTACAGAGGAATCATGACAAAAACAACATGGTATTGGCACCAAAACAGACTGGTAGACCAATGGTACAGAATAGAGGACACAGAGACTAACCCACAAAATTACAATTATCTTATATTAGACTAAGGTGCAAAAACATGCACTGGAGAAAAGATAGACTCTTCAACAAATGGTGCTGGGAAAACTGGAAATCCATATGCAACAAAATGAAATTAAAACTCTATCTCTCACATGCATAAAACTCAACTCAAAGTGGATCAAGGACCTAGGAATTAAGCCAGAGACTCTGCATCTAACATAAGAAAAAGTAGGCCCTAATCTTCATCATGTGGGATTAGGCCCCAACTTCCTTAATAAGATTCCTATAGTGAAAGAATTAAAATTAAGAATCAGTAAATGAGATGGACTCAAACTAAAATGTTTCTTCTCAGCAAAAAAAAAAAAAAAAAAAAAAAATACAATCTGTGAGGTGAACAGAGAGCCTACATCCTGGGAGCAAATTTTTACCCCTCACACATCTGATAGAACACTAATTTCTAGGGTATATAAAGAACTCAAAAAGCTAAGTACAAAAAAAACAAATAACCCAATCAACATATGGGCCAAGGACCTGAACAGACACTTCTCAGAAGAGGATATACAATCAATCAACAAATACATGAAAAAATGTTCATCACCTCTTGCAATTAGAGAAATGCAAATCAAAACTAGTCTAAGATATCATCTCACTCCAGTCAGAATGGCAGCTATTATGAAGACAAACAACAATAATTGTTGGTGAAGATGTGGAAAAGGTACACTCATACATTGCTGGTGGGGACTGCAAATTGGTACAGCCAATATGGAAAGCAGTATGGAAATTCCTTGGAAATCTGGGAATGGAGCCACCATTTGACCCGGATATCCCTCTCCTTGATGTATACCCAAGAGGCTTAAAAACAGTATACTATAGGGACAGAGCCACATCAATTTTACAGCAGCACAATTCACAATAGCTAAACTGTAGAGCCAACCTAGATGCCCTTCAGTGGATGAATGTATTAAAAAATGTGGCATATATATACACAATGGAATTTTACTCAGCAATAAAAGAGAATAAAATCATGGCATTTGCAGGTAAATGGATGGTGTTGGAGAAGATAATGCTAAGTGAAGTTAGCCAATCCCAAAAAAACAAATGCCGAATTTTTTCTCTATATAAGGAGGCTGACTCATACTGGGGTAGGGAGGGGGAGCATGGGAGGAATAGATATATTCTAGATGGGGCTGAGGGGTGGGAGAGACAGGGAGGGGACAAAGGATTAGCAAGGATGGTGGAATGTGATGGACATCATTATCCAAAATACATGTATGAGGACTCTAATTGGTGTCAACATACTTTATATACAACCAGAGATATGAAAAGTTGTGCTGTATATGTGTAATAAGAATTGTATTGCATTCTGGTGTCACTTATTTTTTAAAAAAATCAATAAAAAAAGAAGGTGATCTATCTGGACTTTGTAAGAAGAATGTTAATTACACTCTCAAAGGTGATATCATCAACCAAATTATCAATAAAAATTTACCAGCCATGCCAGAAAATAAAACCTAAAATTCCAAAAATAAGAACATAGAAGTAGAGCCATGGGTAATCCAGACTGGAGTTATCAAACATTGACTCTAAAACAGCTGATGAATATATTTAATAATATAAATTTTAAAATTGATGATTGCTAAATAATAACAATCTTTAACAACGAAATTTAAGAATTAGAGCTGGATATGGTGGTGTACATCTACAGTCCCAGATACACAAAAGGCTGAAGCACAATGGTAATGATTTTGAGGCCAGCCTGGGAAAAATAGCAAGATCCTATTTCTTATAAAACAAATAAGGAGGCTGGGGATGTAGCCCTGTAGTAAAACGCATGATCAAAACCATGGTTTTGATCTCCAGTATGAGGTGGGGAATGGATTTAACAGCTAAACACATTAGATTAGAAAAGACAATTCAAGAACCAGAAGACTGGTATAAAGAAAACTTCCAGGAGGAAAATTAGAAATGATGAAAACTGTCACTGTTTTAAAAATGGCTGGGGATGAGAGGAGCTCCTTATTGAAAAGAAAGAGTACCA